ATATGTGTAGGTATTATAAAAATAGCCAATTTTGGCATTAATGTTATATCATGAAAATTAATTTAAGAGCCATTTTTACATTTAAAAAATACTTGACAGCAATACTTGAAGCATGTTTTATGACTACTTTATTTATAGACCATTTTTGCTTTGGACAGTATTTTTGAGTTTTGATGGTTGTTGAACATTTAATGGATTTCAGCTGCCACTTGCTTCATCTATGTCTCTGCTGGGTACATAAAACTGCCACGTACTTTCAAGTGCAGTGTTGCAAATTCAGTTTGTTGGAGAGTTGAGAGTTCTTCTTCCAGGTGATTTAAAAATACAATTCTTATCTACAGAGGCATCTTCCCAGTCCTCTACCAGAAGCTGTTTTTTTCAGGCTAGTTTACAGAAAGATCGAAGACAGTGAACAAAATAAAGGAATTATTCCTAAGCTCTGTTTGAAATGGCCTCTGACTGCATTTGTGTTACTCATCCAAATATTTGTACAACCCTTGCAGTTTTTACTTAGATGACTAGTTACATCAGTAGAGCTACAAGATTATACTTCATACTGTTGGCAAAAATGCGAAGCACTTCCAATTTTGATACTGTATTTACTTTTTTATATAGTGGAGAACTCTGCACTTGCATCCCACTTCCTCATTTCCTCTACTGTTTCCTAGGTTTTGCATAGCAGCTTCATTAAATTTTTGCCAAGAAATATACTGTAGGTCTTTCTGTACAGCTTGACATTGCTTCTCTGAAAATAATTGCTGGAGGTCTTAGTTGGATAATAGAGATATTCCGAGTTAATGTAGAGTTGTACATAAAAAACATTCACAATGCAAGGTTTTGTCAACCAAAATAAGAGTCCATGAGAATGACACTAGCCTCCTAAATATTAACTTCTGCTTTTTCTGAAGCTCTCTTGCATCAGTGTCTCATTTTCTATCATCTCAGAATGCCCTCTGATTTAAATAAGCATTTTTGTCAGCATACACAAGTTACATACACAAGTTGCTTACTGAAAAATGCATTTGATTACCTCCTTGCCACCTTCTCTTTCACTGCATTCCAACAAAATGTAGTTCCTCAGAATATCTGAAATCCTGATTGTTTTAACAGACACTGCTTGAATTGCTAACATTTTTTTAAAGAGGAAAGTAATTATTACATTTTTCTCTTAGTGTGTGAGTTACAGTATGCCCACTAGATGCCACTCTAGATAGTCATAAAGACAATAATGGGTGAAACTCCACTAGTGCTTCTCTGTTGTTTCAGATTAATATTTTACTAAGTGTTTCCTGTCAAAGCACTGCTTGTTAGCTGGGAAATGCTGCTTTCCCTTCACTGGGTACTAGCTGATACAGCTTTTAAATGCTGTTTTAACACTTTTGCAGGTATTCTTCAGGATCTGACAGTTGAGTGCTTATAAATTATCTCAGTTTTGTTATTTCTCTAATTGTAGTAGTAATTGCATTTTTCCAGAGCAACAGATAGCACAGAGAATTTCAGTATTTACATTCAAACTAAAAATCCATCATTTTAATAGGAAAATTGAAAGTGTACATATAAAAATAAAATAGGAAGGAAGTATACTCCTTTTTAATCCATTAATATTTAAGGAAGAGTAGGTTTGCATTTGGATAAAAATGTGGGAAAACATGGTTTATACTTCTGCTTGTATTTGTGCTAATGTTTAATGGTTGTACAAAAACTTTCCAGCATAAAATCTTTCATGAAGAGGTACATGATAGAAAGAAATTCCATTTTATTTTTGTTTCATAGAAACATGTTTCTAGTCATAAAATTAGACAGTCATGTAATTCATTAGTAAGTACAGTGGTTTTTCTTGATATTTATTTAAATATTAGGATAACTTTGTCCAAGATTATGTAACCTGTTTTTAGTTAACAAATTCACTATTGGAGTATGTCTGCTTACTCTGTTTCATAGTGATATTTTTACATTGAACTGGCAACTTTGTCAGGTTGTATGGTAGATGGAGAATTTTACACTGGCATCTGTATACCTAACAAGAAAAATAGAGGAACAGCTGATGATATCAATATGTTTTTGTGTAATTTGGGATTAACTGCAGACAAAAGCTGAGCAGGGAAGTTACCCAGGCCAGCAGATCTTTAGGGATGGTGAAAACAGTAATCCTGCTGCTCATTTTCCATGTGCCAAGCCAGGGAGGCTATGATGAGCTGTTGCTGCTGTTGAACAGGGGCTGCTGTTGAAGGTTGGCTTCACTGCCGACATTCACATGCCGGCTCTCAGCTACTGAGAAAGCCTTGAGCCACATCCAGCTGCACATTTCTGTGCATTGCTTATTCAGGTTTCAACCTGCAGCATTTTTTTGTTGAAGCAGAAATAAGATTTTTCTGGAAACAATGTGGTGAGATAGAGCTGCTCATAACAGGAGAGAGATTAAGTACGTAGGAAAACTAGTAAATACTGCCTGCTCCCCATTGTTGCTGGGTTTTGATTTTTTTTGTTCTTTGTGGTTTTGTTTTTTAGGGGGTGGTTGGTTGGTTGGTTGGTTGGTTGGTTGGTTGGTTTTTTTGGGGGGGGAGTTGTTTTGTGTTTTTTGGTTTGTTTGTTTGTTTGTTTGTTGAGCCACACTGTTTTGCTTGGTTTGGCAAAGCTTCCTTCATAATGCGTCTGACAGAAGGTCAGATCCCCAATGCTGGTCTCTTTCCATACTCCTTGTAATCCTTTCCCTACTTCCAGTGAAAATAGGGTAACATGAAACTATCTTTTACACAAGAAACTGTGTATCCTGTTAAAGAAAGGCTTTTTTCAGAACACTAGTTCAACCGTATGATCTTGTGATTAATTAAACTGGTAAAAACTATTATGGCACATACATTCAGTAAAGGAAAAGAGTAAGCATGCTAACGAGTGAGCTATCATTAGAAACAAAAAACTAGTTTAAGACAAATTTTAGAGGTTAATAGGCAGTGTTGGAGGAATTTACCCTGGCATAAAAATTGGTTTTATCTGCTGTATAACGGGTGAACCATAAAACCATAAAAGTTGAGTTGCCCTTAGTAATTGGCTGAACAGAGAGATGAAAGACAGCAGAAAGTTAAGCAGAGATTGGTAAGTCAAAAATTAATCACTTCAAATTTTTTCTTAATGAGTCAATCATAGTAAACTAATGAAACCATTATAGCATTTTAATCTGTTATGGCAAACTGTATTTCTTTATACAGGCAGATAAAATTTACTTGAAAATCTCTAGGCCATTTTTCAATTTCTACAAAACATCTGAAGACTACAGATATAAACGACAGCATATCAAAATGTCAGTTTACTGTCCTTAACACAATTTGCTTCGATTTCCCTTTGAAATAATTTGCAAAGGGTTTATGAATACAATTTCATGGTCACCTAATCTGTTGGGAAAAGCATGAAGGGCCCAGAGCCATTGTCCTGTGAAGGCAGTGTGAGAGACCTGAGCTTGTTTAGTCTAATGAAGAAGACACTAATACTTGCCAACAAGTATTTCTGGAGTTGCAGGTGTGCCATGGAACTAAACTTTTTGAATGGACCATATAACAGATATAATTATACTGGGTAGTTCCCATTGCCTTTTCTTAAGGTCTTATTAAGAAAAGAAGTCTAGATAGAATGTTGAGAAGACAATACCATCTTATTAACAGTTTGTCTAAGGAGTTATGTTTTATGCTCAGCTGTGTTGACATTAGAGTTTCTTTCCTTTCAGAGTGAAATCCTGGCACTGTTGAAATCAATATGAGTCATGAGATCTGACTGCATGAAAGCAAATATTTTATTACTCTGCATTAGTTTCTCAATATATAAATTCAGCTATTTATTTTCATGCACTACAACAACATGCAATAAAGTTTAACAGACCAAATAATCAGCTTTTACTACAAAATTGAGTTAGTTTACTATTTGTTTCTTGTTTTCCTTTTTTGTTTTATGTTTGTTTTGGGTTTTTCAAGTTCCCATTCATGTTTATGTTGGCCTCTCTAAAATGCAAATTAATGGAAGTAAATATACACTTACAGCAAAACTTTCTGAGTTATCTGGCAGATTATTGTATGGCTCAGCAACAGCAGAATCTGCAGGATTCATGTTCTTGTCATTCTCTGGAGCCCTATTTGGTGGTGAAACAGCCTTTTCAGGGGACTGCAGCTTTAATAATAATAGTAAAAGGAGTAAGTTTGTTCCTGTGTTACAAACCATATTTTTTCTGGCTCTGTATTAACCACATCAAGTCAGCCTTACAGTTCAGAACTAATCTAATTGTAACATTATTCTACAATGACAAATGTTTTACAAATAGAAATAACTGTAGGCTTTGCTGGTATTTCAGCTATAATGCAAAGTGGTTTCAGGAGCAGCTACGGGATTAAAGGCTAATCCAATGGCATTGTTACCAAAAATCAGTAAAAACAAATATTTCTTCATCCAGCAACAATGCTAGAAACAAAGTTAACCATTTACAATTTTTTTAAAAGTCAATGTCATAAACCTTTGATGTTGACAAAATACTCTCAGGTTTTGAATTTACTTGCAGTTATGTTAAGCTGATCTCTAAGAATTGTTGAACTCTGTATTCAAAATTTGGGAAAGGCAAGTAAAATGAATAATGTTCTTAAACCTTGAATTGGTTGTCTTGTGTTGTTGTATATGTCTCTACCATGAGTGACTTGCATTTGAATAACCACCAGTGTGTTGGCTGATTGTAACTGTGCATATTCAGATTTAGCAAATGTTCCTGTTACAACTTTCATGTTCATGACTAGTGTTTTAAAGAATACTTACGCTTAACTAGCTGAATTTGCAAAAGGAAGATGCCTGAATATTTAATTTACTATTTGCTTATTACTTTTAAATTAATTAATTGGATCTTATGTATTGTTGAAAAGTGCAAAACAAGAAATGGATCCTTTTGCCAAATTGAGTGAAAGTGTATGAATTTATTTTAAAAAAAAATAATCTCATGACCACCAAAATTCTGCTCTTTTTTATTCCAGAATCGAATGGAAGAAAGCAAAGCACTCTTTAGGACAATTATCACATATCCCTGGTTCCAGAACTCTTCAGTTATTCTGTTCTTAAATAAAAAAGATCTACTAGAGGAGAAAATCATGTACTCCCATCTAGTTGATTATTTTCCAGAGTATGATGGTAAGTATAATGACATGCTGTGTTTACACTGTACTACTGGCAAATTGTGCTAGCCTTGACCAAATGCTAGACAGATAGATCCTTTGGTGTATTCCTTTAAAAAATTACTAAAAAATTGTAAAATGTGATTGAACTTTTGTGGAATTTTTAGACTGCTAAGATTTTGGTTTGTACTGTAATGACTTGTAGGTAGGATGGCAGAGCGGCTATTGGGAAATTGTTGACTTTTAGGTGAGTATTGTCATACTAGTAGTGAACCACTTTTTGTCATTTTTCAAAAGTTAGGATGAGGGTTTAAATTGAAATACAAGAGTTAAAAATAATTGTACATATAGTCTTCTATATTTTTGGTGTTTTGAGGTTTGCTTTTATATAAGATTGAATACCTAAGGGGAAGCGTCATAAGCTCTCTGTAGCATTCAGAGAAACAAGCAACCACCCCTTCCACCCTTTTATTGTACCTTTTAAAATTCTGGTTTAATTTTACATTGATTATGTGAAGTTAAGGTGTTTGTCCATAAGAAAAAAATTGTGGGATGTATAAGTACAGCTTCTATTAAAGCTGTACTTTCAGGAAGTTCTCATGAGGGGAAAAGCTACCTATTTTGAGGTAACTGAGTGGAGGTGGCCTTGGTAACAGAAAAAAGTTGTATAATAAGAGGTCTAAATGTTTCTATTTTTTTTAAAGAGAGAATCAATTTTGTCCCACCAGGAAGGAATAGCTGATTGGGAAGCTGAGAAAAAGATTAAAACTCTCATGTTCAAATATGGAAAGTAGTAATGGGAAAAATGTTCTTGTTTTCTGTTAGAGAGGAAGAGAACAGTGAAAAGCCTGCAGGATCAGGTCATATTATTTATGAGTCAGTGTAAATTTAGTTTCATAGTAAGGTACAGATGAGAACTGGCAGCTGAATAGAAATATGCTTGTTCTTTTGAATTTACTTTGTGTAACAAGTTCCCTAGATGACATCCCAAAGGTGAGTAGACCCTACAGTCTGCTCTGTTACCTCTTCTCAAATGTTGACAAAGCCTGTGTAAAATGCTTGTCCAGGAAAAAAAAAAATTCAAACAGTTCATAGAAGCTTTGTTTCTCTTCTCCTTTATCATTGGTGAGGGGAAAAAAAACATTATGGACTATGAAGGATGTGCGAGTGAAGACCTGCAAGCCTTCAAGAATCTTTTGTTTCCTAATTCTGTAGATCTTGCAAGACCTAACTCCAGAGACAAAGTTAGAGTTTGATGTGATTACTTTCCGTGGTAGTGTGGAGTCTGTGGCTTGCAGAGGTCACCATGTGGTCCCCTCTTCTATCCCAGTACACTGGGGATGTGGGAAGTGGGAGATCTGAGGAAGGTATCAGAAATAGGTATTTTTCAGCTGGATTGCTTCTCTCATCTTGAAAAGGGAGAAAGTAGCCTAGGGATGAGAACTGCTGGCCAGGGTGGCAAATTGAACAGATTAAATTAAGGAATTCTGTTGCACCGTGCTTTAGTAAGAGCTTCGAAAGGGAGGATGAGCTGTGCTCCTCTGTCAGCACACTTTATATGCTAGTACTAGACAACTGACTCACAGGCTGGGAGAGAGGGCAAGCACAAAAAGAGGCTGTATTTGGGAGGAAAAGAAGAGAAAAATATTGATGTAGCACTTGTTACATAGATCTTCATGGTATCATATAGAGCCAGTCATTGAAAACTGCTGATTAAGGAGAGCAGTGGGCAAGAAAGGTACTAACTCATGTGATAGTTCTTTTCTAGTTTTCTTAGACCAGAACCATTTGGCCATCTAAATTTGACATTAACTTGTTCAGTTTTTTTAAAGTTCCTGAGGTCATAAACATACTTCTCTGTGCTTGAAGTCAGATAAAAGTTTAAATAACATAAGAGTACAGGTGTGCAGATTTGAGTATATCTCTGAATAGGCCATAGATCTTGAGAAAATGCTGTGTGTAGCTACTGTGAAACTGTTTAACAGAATTTTAGGAAACTGTCTAAAAAACTAAGTGATTTATTTTGATGAAATCATTGTCTTTGGAAGCCCAAGAAATTTCTTCATAAATACTCACATATATATGTGCTATTGTGAGACTTAATATTGCTGCTCTTTATCTATAATAGAGTCTGGTGACCAAGCTAAAGGCTAGAGCCAGTTGTGTTTTAGAAGCTGTAGAAGTGTTGGACAGTCCTCTGTCATGCCTCAGAGAGCTTATTATCTGTTTACATCCCTAAATCTCAGAAAATGTGTCACCTATATATGTATGTGCATATTTGTACATCTGTTCATATGCATACACCCATTTACTGCCAAAGCTTACTCCTCCTCCACATGCATTTGCAGCACACCAAAAAAGTATATGCTTTCTCTTCCATACATTCCCTTCCTAAATTTTAGTTACACGAATTGGAAGTGCTACAAATTTTAAGCTTGAAGTATTAAAAATAGGGTCTGTTATCCAGTTGGTGAAATGCGTGGACATGTGCTGGGCACCAAACTATTGATTTTATGATTACTGAAGGACAGAGCTACAAATAACAGCTGGATGCTGGTATTTGTATTGCTGTGTAACAACAGGACTAATGAAGAGAATAGGAGGAGGCAACAGCACAGAAAACGTGTTTCTGTAGAAACCCACATTTCAGAAACACGAGAGCAAGGGAAGAATGACTTTTGGTGGCAGCACTAGAATAATGGAACAGGATTCACCAGCTTATGTGGCTTATGTTCTTGCTTCTGCACTGCTCTTTGCACTGTGAACATGAATGAATCCTCACTGTTCTAGGCTGGAAGTAATTACTTTACCTTCTGCAATCTTTTAAGCTGAAAATGTAGTTTGGTTAGATTGACTCTGTCCTTCTGAGAGTTACAACTTTAATTTAGATCTGATAGGATCATTAGCATAGATAATTTAGATACCAACTAAAATACTAGATACTTCAATTGGTTGGAACATGAGCCTTTTACAGGCAACAGTTTCAGCTGGAGACCAGCTGTGTATTTTATTATCACTTAAAGTAAATTAACTTCTGTTGAGGACAGTGTCAGACCCAGTTCAAGATACGAATTCTCTATGCTTCCTACTAAAATCCATATAGAACTAGTAAACTTGCACTGCTAAAATAACTGAAGTATAGTTTAAATACAGTAGGTTTAAACTGAACATTCACCATTTCTACTAACTTTTTAAAGATTTAATTATATAGCTAATTTTTTTTTAAATTTTAATTCTATACATTTATAAATCACCTGTTTTGAAACAAGTGATTTACCTTGGTGAAGAAAGAAGATAGTCAGCAGTGAAAGAGTTCTGACTTGGTGAACATCTGAAATTTCTTTCCATCTTTATTTTTAATAGTTCCTACCACAAGAAATGCAGCCAGTATATGATACTATTGATTAGTAAAAGGTTCCCTATCTTCTTTTAGGTGGGGATCACGGAATCAAGCCTTCCTTATTTTCTTTTAAAGAAGTGGAAATACAAAGTTGACTTTAAGAAAACTGAATTTCTCTTGCAGGTCCACAGCGGGATGCACAGGCAGCACGAGAGTTCATCCTGAAGATGTTCGTAGACCTGAATCCAGACAGTGACAAAATTATCTACTCTCACTTCACATGTGCTACAGACACAGAGAACATCCGCTTCGTCTTTGCTGCTGTCAAGGACACAATCCTACAGTTAAACCTGAAGGAGTACAACCTGGTCTAACTGTGCTTGGGGCGTCCTCCAAAACCAACTTTCCGTGATTGAAGATATACAAGAGGGACTGTATTATAATCTGTGAAAACAATTTGCATAATACTAATTTATTGCCGGCCTGGACTCTGTGAATGTCCACAGAGTTTATAGTTAATATTATGATTTTATTTAAAGTATATGGAGGAAAAACAAAAGATGCTGAAATACATTCACAGCACATTTCCTCATTTTTTAGGCAAAACCGTGTGACTCAATGTGTTTCAAATTCTCAGTCGTACATTTACAAAAGATAGCAGTTTTTTGCTATTGAAGCAAAATCAAGCTGGTTTCCTCTTTACCTAACCCTTTCTCTTCTCCTCCTTTTCTCCCCCGCCTTGTCTTTTAAAAGGTACAATGGCCTTTTTTTCCCCCCCCATTTGCATTCCTGGGTGAAATATTTTCTGTTGAATGATTTGGTCAGGAAAACACTATCATCACAGTTTAAGTCATCAGTCATTCTAATTTTACAGTATGTACTTTGAAGGATCAAAAAGTATTGATACTGTGATTTTTAAATTCTTTACATGGGTGTCTTTATTCTGTCTTCACTTCTGAGACTAGAATACTAGGATTGCAAAACAGAATTACAGTTGTCTAAGGTTACTAAATGTAACCATAGTTTTACAGTTAAGAAAGGTGCACAGAAGACAGTAATGAAGTAATAATTAAGACACAATTTGGGATGTACATGGAATATGTTAGAACCTCTTTTTAATTGCCGTGTGCCATTTTTTTCTCTCTTCTTTTATTCACAAATGCCAAATAGAAAAGTCAGAGACACTACATTTTCTCCAGTGGCTGCAGCCTGAAAAAATGTTTTTCTCAGTTTTGTGGGGTGTTTTTTTCTTAAGTTAGAGCTTTTTTAAGTGTTCGTTTTCCACAGTAGGAAAATTATTTTTATTTTACAAAATCCATTTTGCCAAATCTGGCTTTTTATAAAACCAATGCGCTTGAAACATGAAATACTGATTGAAATGCCAAATGGATGGGTTGGGAACTGACCTGATTGAATCAACTGCCAAATGATTAACACACACAGTTTCAGCTCATGTGTTCCCTTTTTTAGAAAGTGTACCATTTTCTAATGCCAAAACCAACATGCAAGTGAATATTCTCTAAGGTGTACCATACACACCCACATATAGTCTAGTAATTTAAAGACAATTTAGATCTCTCATTTTGTAAGTTATGACATAAGATTGTTTTCTGTAATAATGTCAAGGCACCTTCAGTTGTATTACAAGAAGTTATTGATGAGAGATCACATTCAGGAACCTTTTTTGGTAAGGTTGATTGTTAATTGATTCACAGGCATTTGATAGGCTTTCATGCAAAATAGCCTCTCTCAGTGTTCTTTTGAAGAGATATATAAATGTAAATGCAGCAGTGAGAAAATAATTCTTGAAATTTAAATGTGCAATTTTTAACAACAAAAGTGCAGCACACATTGATGAGCCTTTATTCTGCAGCTTAGGTTGAAAGGTTTTTTGACCAGGTGCATGAAAACTCTACATAGAGTTCAGACATGTAATTGGATTGATTATCTATGATGCCAACTGGCACTAGAGTGCACTTAACACAAAAAGGCTGCCACATAGCAGCAGGTGGGAGGTGGAAAAAAGAATGGCTTATTAGTTGATTACCAAAGTTAACAATAAATGCTAATGAGATATTTTTCATCCTTAACCCTCCCAAATTCAAAAGAACGATAATAAGAACAGTTGGGTTTTTTTGCTCCCTCTTAAAACACCTTGTAATTTAAAACTGGTTGTAGGTATAGTGCAATTATGAATGCTATAATCATTGTACATACATATATATATATATATATATATGGCAGCATCCATATTGGCTTTGTAATCATTAATTTTTGGCAAATTGAATGTGCTGTATTGATATGTATCTATGTAATTGTATTGTATGTCTTATAGCTAATTCACATTTTAAATAATGTTATTTTATTTACTTTTTTAAGAGAGAAGAATGTAAATTTTGTCAGTTTATTTCTGACTAGGGATTTGTTGTTGTTTTTATTTACAAAGCAAAATACTATAGTACAGAGCGGTACTAGCATCGTGCTGTATAAAATCATTTGCACATTCCTGAGTAGAAGTAAATTGGGATACCAAGACAGAGATGATTCACATTCAAAACAATGCTCAAATCTTGGCAGGGCTTTATACAGCTGTAGAATACAATCCTATTACAAGAACTTATGTTATTATATCTCATATTGGAACATAAACTTTAAATGGAAAATCAGTTTTTTATTTGACTGAATCGCATTAGGTTTTACTTCTCTGATAGTTTTATTGGAAAAGTAAATTCAGAGGTATTTCGAACCATTGTACCCTAAGTACTAATGCATATATGCTGTTGCCCTAAAAATACCATGATAAAATGCAAAACACCAGATCAGTCTTTCAGAAACTTTGGAAACCTTAGATATAAAAACAACAACCAAAAAGTCACTATTGTTAACGATTTTAAGGAGTTAAAGTATTTTATTTAATGAAGCTAAAGCAGGTAGATATAGATTATAAAAAGTGACACTGACATTCTGAATAGGGGATCAGAGCAGTGACTCTTTCTTACATACAGCTTAAAAAAATTGGTCCTGATCATGCTATGAATGCAACAGAGCTTCTGTTTTCACAGTTCCACTGTTGATAATATCCCTTTTTTTAACCTGGGAATACATTGCCCACGCTGGATTCAGTGCTATAAATGGAACTGTAGCCAAAAAAGGAAGAAAAAAAAAAAAAAAAAGAAAAAAAAAAGGGGGGGGGAAGGAAAAAAAAAAGAAAAAGTATTTAAAAAAAAGACAAACACAACCAAACAAAAAGCCGCAACAGTGGTGTCTAACAGAAGTTTGGAGTTTTTAAATTTGGTTTTGGTTTTTTTTTCCTTATGGGATATTGGGTGGGGGAGAAGGAAATGTGGTTCCAAGTTTTGTATAAAAACAAAACAAAAGTTTACTCATGCTTTATAGTTATATTGTGATTGCAAAAGTTTTCAAGAGTGTATGCCACTGGGCTATTTTCTGGTATTTTTTAGGTAAGTTGAACCTGTGGCAATGTTTAGATCGTTTGAGCATGTTCTGGGAAAAAAAAAATATTCGGCATGCCAAGGCAAGCTTTACATGAATCACCTAACACAGCATTGCAGTATGACAGTTTACAAAACATTTTCTTTTTAAATAACACAGCTGTTCCCACTTGTAGTATATTCCATTGTGGTGGTGGTGGTGTTGCTGTTGTTTTAATTGGTGGTTTCTACTATGCCTTATAGTGCTTAAGTTCAGAAGTTTGTGCCTCTAACATGAAGCTGAAGGCAAAAACATCAAGACAGAAACCCTTTTAATTTTGCCAAAATGATGTGTTTTCTTTGAATGTTATAAATGGGGGAGGAGGGAAGGAAAATGTCTTGGGAACCTGTGTATTCTAAATGTTCACTAGCACAAGAAAGCTGTAATACGTATTTTACGGAATCCTGGAACTTGCCTTTTTCACAAACTGTCGCTGTCCTTACAGATGTAGGATGATGCAGCTATAAGGGCAGTTTACTTTTTATAATTCAGTCTCTTTTGATTGTTAAGGTGTATGAACTGTACTTTTTAATCATACTGCCACATGATTGTGAATCACTTTTTAAAGTTTGAAAATGGAGAAGAGACTTTTAATGCTGGATAACAGTCAGAATTGACTGCATGATTTGCAAAAACTATATGGGGGAAAAGGGCTGCATATAGATATTGCTAGACTCCCAGCCTTGAGTTGTAAGGTGCAGAAGACTTTCAGATGACTTAACCTCATGACCCTTTCCTAGTTAAACATTCTTCACAAAAGAATGAAATATTAGGAGAAAACAAATACATGTTAACCCACATGAAAAAAATAAAATTTAGACATTTAATTTATTACATGTGCTGCTATTCTTGGAGCTCTGTGCATAGTTATCCTGCAGACTATTACATTAGTGAACTAATGAAGTGTTCACAGCATATTAACAAGGCTTACACATGACCTACCTCTAGTTAAGAGATTAGTAAAGTAGCTATGTTTTGGAGAGACTGACATAAGTAATTTAGAAAATTTAAATGTCCCGGTATTTAATTAACCACGGTATTTTAGAAATTGACACTTTTACAAATATGGTCCGTCTTTTGACATAAAACATAAATTCTAGAATTTAATAGACATCAAGCAACTAAAGCCTTTCCAGCTTGTTTGTTTCGTAGAAGTCTTGCAAAACAATGGCTTTAGTTTGAGAAGTGGAGCTACTGGTATTTCCTCTTGCCTTTTGGTTATCTGTAGCATTTTGAGTTCTATCAGTCAAACAAGAAATTTTTTCTATCTAGTCAATACATTGGGGTCACAACTTAGATGATGAAAAAGTTTTACTGTAGGTTTATCTTGAGCTTTTTCACAGTAGTCATACTGCAGGTAAGAAAGGAATAGAGATTTTGAAAACAGTGTCAAAAAATACATCAAGTTTAATGTAAATAATTTGAAGGTTTTTTGCTCTCACAATACAATTTAAGTTGATTTCCTTGTTTGCCATGCTGCAGGAAATCCTTATTTGACCAGTTCTTAATATTTTTTTTCTTTTAAGGAAGGAGTGTCAGATGTATTTTTAAACCTAAGGGTATTTAAAAATTGCTGTTCTTAAAGTGTCACTTAAATGCATGTATTGTGTGTTGCTTGAGGGACGAAATTGGTTTTTTTGAAAAATTAGTATTGTACAGTTTCTGCCCCTCAAAAATGTTGTTGGTTAAAAATACACTATTTTTTTTGCCATATCTTCATACTATAGTATCTTCATTCCTTGAAATTTAGTTTTTCTGGAATATTTGGACTTACTGTTCTCTCAGAATGCTTCTTATTATGGTAAATACAGGAGAGATATATTACTCCAAAATTAATTTTTAATTATACATGCTCCATCATCATTGTCTAAATATTACAACTTCCAGAGTATCTTTGTTACAGCCAGATGTTCAAAACATTTAGGGTTTGTTACAGCGGTGAAGGTAATTCGACAGTATTATAAAAGGTTTGGAGTTTTTTTGGCTTGTGTACAATGGAAACTCAGAAGCATGGGAGAAAATAAATAAAACCTATGTCTCAGGAAAAGAAAACTCAGACTTTGCAGACAGGAAAATTTCTTAAGGAGTTCTGGATGATTGCAGTACTACTGCAAGAGTAGTGTGTTTCTTAGATCTTTTTGTACACCTGTGTCATGATAGAAGTAACAGAAAGAGGCTATGTGCTACTTTCAGGAGTTTGACTCATACCTGGTCAAAAATCAGTGCATCTTAGATCATTACTGAAGAAATAGTATTTCAGGCAAGTTGCAAAAATTAGTTGGTTCTCCATTAAGTGAACAAAACAGTTAAGGTAAGAATCCTGGAATGCAAACCGTTTGCCTAAGCAAAGACAAGAGTGAATGGTTCCTCATTTTTCTTTCCAGTTGCAGAATGTATGGGAGAAGGATCAGTCAGTAGGGAAGGATTTATTTTATGTTTGTGTCTCAGTGAAGATAATGTCAACTACAGTGTCATTGTGACCTTTAGATACGTGAAATAGATGTAGAAACTGTATCTGTGTGATTAGTTGTGCATACTTGTGATTAAAATCTTACATCAGACGCTATGATCATCTCACCCAATTACCAAGCATTTTGTAGAACTCTGTCCCAAACATCTAGGAGTTCCAGAATATTTAAAAACTGCCACAAAATACACAATTGCCAGATCCTCAAGAGCACACCTGGTATCAGTATCTGATACGAAGGCACCAGACCCTGTCTCACAGCTCATTACTTTTAAAAGGACCTACTTTCCAAGACCTCCTTTGATCCTGGTTTTCATCCACTTCGAGCTTTCTCTCTCCCTTATGTCAGCCCTGCTGCTTTGTCAATGAACTGAGTGGAAAGAAAAAAAAAAAAAAAAAAAACTTATTTTTGCAGTTCTTGGTTGGCTGCTTTATTAGTCTAATTTTCAGGGGTTTCAGCCAATTTGGCTGACCAATGGTTCAAAGAAGTGCTAAGCTGACCAAGTGGAAGGGATAGAATTGTGTGGCCAAAAGGCTTAGAAATGAGGAAAAAAGGAGCAACATTTTCCTCCCTGAAAACCTCATCCTAGTGCTGTAGTTTCTGAACCCTTCATTTTATGCAATATTAGCTATTCTGGCTTGGAAGTGCTGCACTTTTCATTTTTAAAGGCCTTGATTGCGTACTTATTCTTGGGAAAAAAAAAAAAAAAAAAAAAAAAGGAAATTACTGAACAAGGAGAGCTCTTGATCCCTTTTAAGAATCACAGGTTTCTCTGTACATGGACTAAATGCAACTGTAGTCAGACTGATAACTGATGGCAAAAAATCAAACTTAGTGTTAAGGATGGAAAAATGCAAAAATGGTACTTTTATTCATACCACCAAAAAACCCCTAAAACAAAGCAAAAAAAACCTCAAACAAAACTTGTTATTTTCCAGTAAGCTCTAAAAAGAAAATGTTTTCTATCTTATTTAAAATGCTGTGTTGCTGGGCATGACATTCAAGGTTCACTGTGTCTTGTCCAAGGCACTTCTTTCTCCATTCACACTTATTTAATATCACACTCATTAATTGTTTCCTATTAATTGCTTCCACACTCATTAATTGCCATCTAAAGAAAATACAGTATTGCTTTAAGTATGTGCACTCTGGAATACTTTCAGATCCTTGTGAATTAAATGTAAATTGGTCTGGTAAAATTCAACAACTGATGATGTGTAGTACAGCTGAAGAGGAACGCACTTTGTGCTTAATCTTCTTCCTACTGCCATTTTGTTTTGATTATTTTTTGGTATCTTTCCTTTATCCTGTTTACCACAAAGAGAAGGTTTTTTGACATACCAGATTCAATTCTGGTAGTCATTGCAGAGTTGATCATACTGGCTCCAAATTGTGAATAAGACCAGCTTCAGAAGGTTCTTGTAATCAGGGCCAGATACAATTTGCCTTTTGGACATGCATTTCAGAAAACTGTTAACACTATAGTTGGAATACAATCACTTGAAAGATGTAGTATGTAGTAGGCAAACATGGGCCAAATTTTGCCATTTTAGTCTATCATTTTGCATTGTCAGTAGAAAGCTATTTGCTAAGATGTTGCTGAAAATTTGCCTTTTTTCCTGCAGTCCTGTATGAGGTGGTTAATGCAATGATCAGGCTGGCACTCAACTGAAGAGATGCATTAATTCGACAATAAGTTCAAATGTATTCTTGCAGAGACTATTGCATAAGATTACTTTATATGATGCTAACAACAACAACAACAAAAAGATACTTGCATGCAGTAAATACTTAAGATATTGCACTTTTATACATTTATTATAAAGAGGAATCACTCCCTAAAAATAAAATTCCATTTATCTCACAATGAAGTATCTGGAGTCTCTTAACAATTGTCAGTTACTTGTGCACACAAGTGTGATTATTGTATACTAGAGGTTTATTAACCTATTTCACATGCTGCAGAATACTTGGTTTATTTCAAATGCTGATTTTGGAAAGGCGAAATTATGTCTTTATTAGTATCTTGGTGACTACTTTTCTCAGCATGTTTTTAGGAGAGCCCTCACAGTTACTGATAAGACCTGATTTATTTTAGCTCAAGAAATTAACTGATTTACTATTATTGTCAAAGTTTTTTCTTCAAGTGCTTTAGAACTTCACTGTTTCATCTCACTTTGCTGAAGTTAAGCAACCTGAGTGTAATTGAGTGGCAAAAGGCTAGATATAAACGTAGTCAAATTTGATACTTCCCTTGCATAATAATTTTTTAATGTATAAATCAATTACATGACTATAATTTAGCAACGGAGCTATTAGTCTTGAATTGCAACAGGCTGTGGTGGTACTAAGAAGAAATCAGTTGTCCTTATATACATAATCATATTATTCAGATTCTTTACAAGATGTGAGAGGTATTCAAATAATGTTATGACTAATACATGTAAAAACAGTTTAACTCATTTTCAGTATTATTTAATGGTCTAGAAATTGTTGGAATCTCTTGTAAGAAGTTATAGAACTGATGCTACAAGTGGAAGATTTTTGTGGTTATGGATTAAATAATTCTCTTTTGATACATAGTCACACTTGTACATGCTGATTTTATTTCTGCTAATATGAAACAAAAGTAACTCACTGTAGATAACAAACATAATCCCCAATTAAAAACCAGAAGAGCAAAACATTACATAGCTAGAAGGTAAATACAGGGCTTAGATGTTGTACACTAGATGATAGTGTACAATGTAAATGAGCACAACAAATTGCCTAAGCAGAGAAAAGTTTATGTAAACTGAGAAATCATTTGTGAGTCGTTTAGTTGACTGTTCACTTGTTCAAGATTAATAGAAAAAAAACAGTCTGGGTTTGAGATACTTTATTAGCATATCTCTAGGAGACTTCTCTAAACATTTTGCAGTTCAAAGCAGTGTAGGCTAAAAGCTCTTTCTCCCTTACTCTGTTGTTCAAGAGTTGAGAAATTCATACACTCAAAATACATACATTGCAGGACGCTTAAATGAATGCCTCCAAAATGCAGCAGAGGGGGAGAGTGTAATGCTGCAAGGTGTGGGAGGCAAACCTGATGTCCCCAGTCATGCAGATGAGAATGATTTTGTCAGTTGACCTGCAAAATGTGCATAATTTAATTATTTTGTTTGTCTTCTCAGTAGAAAATATTATGGCTTCAGTATCCTACCACAGTCTTTTTAATTTTAACTAAAGAGTTGTTAATTAACAACTCTTCAGTTTTTCTAATGGAAATAGGAAAAATGGCTGGGCTACAAAAACAGCTTAACACCTTTCCTCAACTCGCTGTCTTGGAGAGCCACGAGTATGACCTTTATTTAGCCCTCTGTTGCATAGCAGGCAAAAAGACAGGTCCTAACCACAAGAAATTAACGAAAGAGCAGACAAATTTAGCTGCTGCTTTATGACAAAGACTGGCTTAGTCTTTGCTTTCAATAATTCTGTGACCAACACAGTTTAGGAGAAAATAGTTTCCCTTGTCTGCCTGGAGGTCTTTTGAATAAAACTTCAATTCCACTCAGATCTATGGAAAAGACATCTACTACTCAGAGGAGGCTTCTTTTACAGTTGATTATCTGAAATTTCCAAACATTAACTTGGTAGTTGAAGGTCTGTACATGACAGAGGTTGAAGCATTAAAAGTGTGTATTTCCATGACTTGGGCGTTATTTAAAATGCTTGTGGGTACATGGAAATTGCTATTCAGTGCACAGCAATCACTTTGGCCTGCTGTGCCACCTGTGAGCCCAGGGCCCTAAAGAATGGAAGTTGTAACTGAAAGTCATGGTGTCAGATGTTCCTGTGTTCAAAGCAAAGTAGGTGTGCTGCTGCTTTTGTGGAACAAAATTTCTCTACAATAGAGATACCTGTTTTCTTCCTTCTCCCTATCATTTTTATACATAAAAAAACAACCAAACAACAACAACAACAAAATCCAAAACCACCACACCCAACCACAAAAACCAACCCCAGCAAACAAACAAACAAACAAACAAAACCTCCCGAAGGAGCAGGGAAGGCTTATGACAACCTACACGCACATTCCAGACAACGGTTTTCAGCCATGTTGTTTGAGCCTCTGAGTGCCCAGGTTTACAGATATTGACTGCTGGCTATTGATGTTGAGCCTGTTACATCAAGCCTGTAACGTCAGGCAGGATTCAATATGAAAATATTAAATATGTAGGTACTGTTCTGTAAGAAGGTGCCTTTCTCAAGTGGCAAGAGAAGAAGTAGGGAAGAAGAAGACAGACAGCCATTAACCATGTACAGAGATCTATGGTGAGAACAGGCAGGACACTGGAATGTGAAGCATCCGCAGACCAGAGTTACTGGTGCAGGAGGGGACTTTCTTATTGTGGAAAACTATTATGCTTAGGCCAAAAATGCACTGGGAAACAACAGTGTGGCATATGTCATACCACTTAATAAAGGTTCCTCTGAAAATAAAAATTGTAAAGTCTGAGGCATTTTTACCAAGACTTCAAGGCTGTCATTAAATAAAACACAAGTTGAGAATATATCTGTGCATATACTACCTAGCAGTAAATTCAGGAGCTGTGACATTTGGAAAATGGCATATATAAATAATGACATAAAGAATTCAACAGTAAGCCAATGGCAGGCTGCACAATTCTACTTCTTTTATCAGAGACAAATGCTTTTAAGTACATTTTTCTATTTGTACATGCACATTTCTATTGGCATAGCAAAGCAAGCATATCCAGGCATTTTGTGATGTCTGAGAGTGCCACAGTCTTACAGATAATGCTTTCCTATGTAAAGAATTTTCAAACAGTTATTGTAAAACCATTGTCATTTCATAGTTGTTAATGAAAACTATAAGTTGTATTTTGTTTGATTTTGTGTGTGTGTGTGTGTGTGTTAAATTAAACAAGTTTATTTTAATGGTGTTTTCTACAAGAGCCTTAGTTTCTTGATATTTTACATCAAAGTACAACTATGGTTTTGCTACTGGCTGAAGAGGATTTCACAGACTACAGTGATAATGGAGAAATCATGCATACTGTGGTCAAGAGACCAGAAGTACCTTGTGAGAGCCAGGCGCCTCTCCTGACTCTGTCTCCTTGCCCTCTCCCCAGGGGAACGGGAGGCAAGAGAAAGTGGGCCAGCAGCTTCCTGGCTGGGGCCCGTGCCAGGCTGAGGAGGAAAGCCAGAGCTGCCCGTGCGGCGCTGCCCGCGGGGAGCGCGGCTGGCCGGAGACAGCGCCTCTCGCCCCTCGCACAGCACCACCAGCCCTCCATCCCCGTCTGAGCCGCGCCTCCCTGCTGGGGGTCGTGCAGCATCACCAACAATTCACATCCAGGTCGTGTCCCCCGCCCCCGCAGGCACACACCCCGCTGCTCTGCAAAGCGACTCCCGCCTCTGCGGTGCTGTCACCATCCGTGCGCTGCCGTCTCCAGTGAAACATCCACGGCGTCCGTCTGGCTGCAAGTACTGCCCTGTGACGCAAGGTGATAGCAGGGCGTGGCAGAGCTGTTGGAGGTGCTGGGATCATCCTCTCATTGTCGGCATCCTCTCATCAGTCCAAGGGTGTCCTTTATTTCCCCCGATGGGAATTGTCCCTCTCCTTGCAATAAGCTGGGGTCATTTAGTCACGTTTGCACAGTAGACGATATCAACCACCTATCCATGTACCTGCGTACGTATGTATGCACGCTTGTGTGTGTATGGATATATGTATGTATCTCTTCAGAAAGTTCATACAATTTAGAATCAGGATCATTTAGGTTGGAAAAACACTTGAGATCACCAAGTCTCACCAGTGAGTCCAGCTGCCATGTTGACCACTAACCCATGTCTCCCTAACTGCCAAATCTACTCAGCTTTTAAATTTCTCCAGGGATGGTGACTCAGCCACTTCATAGGGCAGCCTGTTCCAGTGCCTGACAACCCTTACAGTGAAGAAGTTCTCCTAATACTCAGTCTTAATCTCCCATGGCACAACTTGAGATCATTTCCTCTTGTCCTGTTGCTTATTACGTGGGAGACTGACCCCACCTCACTACAGCCTCCTGTCAGGCAGCTGCAGAGAGCCATAAGGTCTCCCCTGAGCCTCCTCTTCAGACTGAAAAATCCCAATACCTTTATTACTGGCAAGAAAGGAGAGTTCCTGGAAGTAATTTATGTACCTGATACTTTGAAAATGTCAGTTTACAATAGCTTGGGAAAATTTTAAGTGATGTATGGAATAAAAAGCACAGAGTTCTGCAAAGACCACAACTTTAAAGACAATTACTAGATTAATAATGCAGATTCAGTAATAAGACAGATACTGCTGTATGTTCATTTTTACTCAGTAGCAAAGGGAAGTGAAAGGCAGTACAACACAGAAAAAAAAATCTAGTCATAAATCATGAGAATTCAAGGGTAGGGAGTACAAGAACAGTTAAAGGGGAATTTAAATACCAAAGGATGAGGTAGCACTAAAAAAACAGATATTTTTAAGTACATTAGAATAATATTAGCAATGTCATAGGTCCTACTTGGTTTTGCCCAAATGATAAAACATAAATATGAAGAAATTAGGAAGCAGACGTACCAGATGCCTATGTCTGGTGTATGTCTGAAGGGAACACAGCAAGGTGCTGTCAAGTGAGTATGATTTAATACTTTCTAATCCATTTGTCACTAAGGATAATTGTGAAAAATATTGAGTGGAAATTAAAACAGGCCCACATAGCCTGCAGACAAAAATTCAAAAAGTTATTGTTTCATTTAATGTAAAATTTTAATAAATCGGGAACTCCAAGAGAAACACCAGAAGAGTGGAACCGTGGTGCAGTTGAGCTACAATGAGATGTAGTTTAACTAATTAAACACTGCCAACATTAAGCATAAGTAAACATCCTAATAAATTTTCAAAAATATTTGCTTGAATGTTTACTGAGTGCTTGATGAACACTAGTGATTATACTCAAGCTTCCCGTTCCAGCTCTGCCATGTTTGTGATGTGATCCCGTGGAATTGCTCTCCTGCCTTCTGTGTACAGTCAGTGGAGTGCAGGGAGTAAAACCAGTCCATCCAAACAGACTTTTGTGGGAGGTAATGCAGTTATTTTTAGTGAAGTTTAGACTACTAAAAAGAAAATATAAAAGTGCAAAACTTCATTATATTTGCCATCAGAAAAAACATATTATTCCCCAGACAATATTTAATCCAATATGTTTCTGATCTCCTCTGAACCTGCTGTTACTAATATATTTTTACTAGCATTATAAAATACTTAAAACTCAGAGAAGACTGCTGCTAGGGCATCACTCTAAGAGAAGATGGTGAGTTTAAGCTCTCTGCAGATACAGAACATTTATGTAACATTAATCTTAATTAGTTGTTTTAAAAATAAAAAGATGGACTTCTTTCCTCATACCTCAGGATTGCAGACTTGCAATTATTGTGCAATAAGTTCCTTTATTCCCCAACACCATAAATCTTTACAAAACAAAACGTTAGTAAATATTAACCTCAGCATGTACAGGTGGATTTACTTGGGAAAATTATCCTATATGACCAAATATTTAGGATTTCTGAG